TTACTTTACTTAAGCATAGGACTGTTTTATATTCAAATTATTCTATATCTAAGTCAGAAGGCAAGATTCTCCATATGCCTAGAAATCAACACTCTTCTTCCTTATATCATACCATTTAATAGATTACTCATATAGTTAGATCATGTGGACAAAATTAACTGTAATGGCAAGTTATGACATTAAGTATATTTTATTTTAACATTAATCATCCAGCTTGTACGATTTGAAAATTTTGAAAGAAAAGAGACAATAGCTATTTTGAAATCTCTGGTTCCTAAGTCTTCATTATTTTCTCCAAAATATTACCTCAAAGAGTGCCAAATTTTTATCAAAATATTCATTTCCTTCTTCATAATTGGAATTATTGAGATAAGCATTTCGAGCTTTCTTATGCCCATCATCTGGAAAAAACAGTAAACCAAGTTAGTTTCTCACTGGTATTGCATAAACAGCACCAAATAACTGCATGTTGCCTCCTTATTAATCTAAATTCAATCTGAGACTCAATCAACATTGCTTACAGCATGTTTCTCCATTCTATGCAGAAGCACAAACAAATGTCTAAGGAATACATACGAATCACTGTTTTTCTTAACTCAAAGATCTTTGGAGGCATTCTTCTTCTAGCCTATCAAGGTCCTATTCAGGATAGAAAAAAGAAAAAGAAAAAGAAAAAAAAACCCAGAGAATTTATGAAGTACCTACTCAGGATATAGACGTGAGTTACTTTATACACTGCTGCGATTAACACTGGAGAAAAAATTCTCTACTTCCAGGGCTGTCTGATCTTTTATTTTTGTGCATATGCTTTTTATGTTGTAAAGAGGCACCTGATGGGGAGAGGAAAGGCAAGGGAAGAGTAGGGCAAGAAGTAGAAAGATGTATAGATACCAAGTCCCCATGATTATGTACTAATAAAAAAAAGTTTTAAAAGAGGCACCTGGTAAGAATGTAGTGAACAAAGTACAAATTTAAAAAAAAATTAGTTTCTAGGACACAAAGTTTGTACTTTCTTAACTTTCTTAACCAAAGTTAAAGATTTGATTCCAAACAACTATCACCTGGCCCAGTTACATAAAGAAAAAAGTTAAAAAATTATATAAAGCCTACTACAATTTAAGAGTTTCAGGTCACATGTAGTTCACCCTTGCAATCCTGCTGAGACAAGAGTATCACGAGTTTGAGGCCAGCATGGGCAACTGAGTGAGACCTTATCTTGTTGAGATAGAGCATCCTGGATTCAATTCTCAATATCATGAAAACTATTAAGATTTTCAACATGGAAAAAATATATAACTATAAAAATTTTAAGATATTAAAAATCCTATATCCTTAAAAGGCTAAAGTGAAAATATAAATACTAAAACTAAATAGCACCATAGAACTGAAACACAGATGTATGAAATACTTAACTTGGTATGGTGGCACATGC